CACCCCCCCCCCCCCCCCCCCCAGCAGACTAGGGAGACGCGGAGCGGCTTTTCTCAGCAGATACCTCAGCTTGAGAATAAAGGACTGAGGGAAGTGAGGTGTTGGAGAATAAAACTGAGCTCTGGAGAAATGTTTGGCTAGAGTTTCCCCTACAATATGTACCAGTTCTGACTTACATACGAATTCAACTTAAGAACAAACCTACAGTCCCTATCTTGTACGTAACCCGGGGACTGCCTGTATAGAGAGAGAGAATTTAAACAGTTTTTTTCTGCCGGGTAACAGAATAACATCATCATAAAAGGGGTTGGCGAGCACAGCAAGCATAGGATGTACCCACAGGTATATACAAAATGTTAAAGGCTGTAAAATTATTACCTTTCTGTTATTCATCATGTGCTTTCTTAATCATATGCTTAGCTTAGTGACAAAAAAAGAACCCCAAACAAACAACATTTTGACTTCAAATCTACAGTGCAAACTCAATGCAGCTGACTGATTTCTGCATCATAAAGGAGCTTTCAGTGACACTCTGATTTCAGAATATTCTGGAGGTGATGCATAAAGCAGAAATGACACATCCTGATTGGAAGCTATAGAGATGCACTTGCAGCATCAGCAGTTAGGAAAACCATCTTGTTTTGGTTTGTAAACTAGAATAAATTTGCTATGGATACCATTGATGCGAAATGGATCTGTCACACGAAGGTGTTACTTTCCTGAGTTAATTTTCTGATCACAAACAAACCCAAGAGCATGTTTATTAACAAACGTGGACTTGCTATGCCTGATTCTTTATCAATATTTTAAGCTCTTTAAGAATGACAGTGTAGAGTGGGGATGAGGTCACTTGACAATTTGAACTACAGTAAATGGTGGATTCTTAAGTCTTTATAATCATGATTTGAGAACATCCATAACTCAGCTAGAGGGTATGAGCCAGTTACAATAGGCTAGTTCTACACTACACTGCTCTGCCGAAAAAAGAACCAGAAAAAGCTACGTGAATTGCAAACCGCAATTTGCTTAGCTTTTTCCAGAAAAGGCTTTTCCGACATTTGACCCGTCTACACTGGGCCAAAGGTTGGGGAAAAAACCCTTTTTCGGAACATCCCTTCTTCCTTGTAAAACAAGGTTCACAGGGATGCCAGAAAAATTTTGGAAGAGCAGATGCGTTCTCTGGATGTGGCAGAGTTTTTACCCCGGGAAAAACTCTGTAGTGTAGACATAGTCATAGTGGGGGAGTGAGGTTTGGTGGCCTGCAGTGTGCAAGAGGTCAGGCTGGATCAGTGGTGGGAAGCCTGCAGCCCAACAGCCACATGCAGCTCTGTGGGGGTTCTATATGCAGTTCACAAAGTATTTTGCTTACTGTTACCTACACACAGGGTGGCCAGATTTTGCTAGTTTTTTGTCCACATAACTTTTTTCCTACCAGTATTATGTTACCCACAGCTCTGTGATTCTTGGGGAACCAGAACATGGTCACCTGTCAGCCTTGTGCTCTTCGGGAGCCAGGGAATGACATTCATGTAAAACCATCCCCCTCCCTCAGGCCTCTGCTAGAATCAAAGACAAAGCAATGAAAAGGCCGGGGAAGACACACCTAAACTGCTTCAGACAAGGGAGATATAATTAAGGAAACACCTCAGCCTCATTTGCATTAAAGATGGATCAGAGGGACATCTCATTAGCATACAGAATGGAGAGCAGCTCTTCCAAGGCAGGAACCACAGTGAACTATGGGACACCGAAAGCAGAGAAGCACTGCCTGATGGGAAATCTCTACTCCAGATGCTAATGAACCTAGGCCGGCTCATACCCAAATTAGTCATCATCAGACCAATTCTAGTAACAATCCTATTGACATCTAAAATACTGAAACTGCCTAGTTGCATTGTGAGCTTGTTCAAGGAACATCACCCATAACCAGGGGTGATAAGTCTCTATTGTCACTCCTCTTTCTCTTTGAACTATCCCTATAAAAATGCCATCCTTGCCCCAAGAAATACCTGGATTTAAACTGCATCAGTTCCATTGAGACTTTTTCATCTCCTGTCTGATCGTGCTGGGGGCTCTGCTCTGCTTGTCTCCTGCCCTCTGGACCCCTGACTACCATCATCATCTGGGAACCCTGATCAGTGCCGGCTCAATGGAGTGGTGAGGTCTCTCTCTCCCATCCACTATCTCTCTAAGCATAGCCTCCTGACCCTGCCCTATATAAACTGTTATATGGTTACCTAACATTTGTAATCAGTTTCAATTTAGATTTAATATTGTAGCTGTTAGATTTAATATTGTAACTTTTTGATATCTATTCACTACTCAGAAATAAATCACTTTCATTGTTAAACTGGTTGCTTCTCTCTCTTTGGTTATGTCTACACTACAAAGTTAGTTCGAACTAACGGACGTTAGTTCGAACTAACTTTCATAGGCGCTACACTAGCGGTTTTCTTTCTCTTTTGCTCACTCTTCCTTAAGGGGTGTTGTTTTGGCTTCCCCATTTGCTCTGCAACAATGCTTCTTGTACCCAAGCTAAAGATCCCTGTAGTGCCCAAAATCCTGTGGGGGTTTGCTCATTGTGTGGTTTATCAGTGAATGATTGTGGTGTGAAAGTGGAGATAGGGGACACTGAACCTGGGGGCATATGAGGATGGCAGCTTAAAGTGCTGTTAAACCCAGCCAGCTGAGTCCAGGGACATATGAGGGGGTCAGCTTGTGAGTGCTGAGTACCCAGTCCTCTCAGACGTGCTCTGTTAGTGGGTGTGAGTGTCTGTGTGTGTTACTAAGGTGGGAAGAACCCCATCCTGAGGAACCTAGTTTCTGCAGGAGAGCTCCAGTGGGAGAGGGAATTGGCAGCAGGGAGAATTCAGCTCCATATGAGAGCACAAGTAAGCACAAACAGCACACTGATAGAATGGTTAACCTTTCCCCAGTGCCATAAGAGTGACCCTGATAAATGAGCATACACCAGAGTATTGGGAAAATCTGGTAACAATTACAAAAGTGACACTTAAAGCAAGGGCATGGGAAGTGAGGTGAATGCTATTGATACAGGCCAAACCTCTCTAGTCCGGCACTCACTTGTCCAGCAACATCTGTGATATAGCTTGATTTTAGTTAGCTGCACATCCACTTATCGTGGGTGTGACTAACTTTCTCATGGGCTCATAAACTTTGTTTACAGCCACCGGTCCTGGCTCTCAGAGTTCTGTGCTGTTATTTAGCTCTAATTTAACCTTACATGTCTTCTAAAAGCCCAGGAAGTAATTGAAGTGTTGGTAATACTGCTAGATAATATTGACCTCCCATGGTTTGGCAAATTCTCTGGTTCGGTACTGGTTAGGTCCCGAGGATTCCAGACTGGAGAGGTTCAATCTGTATAGGGACATTTTGAAATGGGGGAGGCTAAGATTCATGACTGTGCAGAGTCCTAAAGCACAGTTAAAGCCTTTGAGGTGAAATGGGGAGTGTAGAATCAAGGGGGTTGAATAGTGAGAAGAAGTCTGAGAAGCCAGATGTAGGGATTGGATGGGCAGCTAAGAACTGGTCCTGTATATTCTAGGGAGCCTTTGATTGCATCTCCTCCAGTATATGTTAAAAAAAATCATCATGTATACATGGTTTCAGGGAAATAACATGCTTGAAATTGTTAGATATATTCTACATAATCAGCTATGCCCAAATGCTTTCTGTGATGTTTATCTACATTTTAATGGCTGAAAGTAATAATAGCAAAAGTATTAATACTTTGAAAATATAAAGTGATATACAATAATTAATCACAATGGTCTTTACTACTAATATTAATAGCCTCTTCTCTTAGGTGGTAAAGTGGAGAGAAAGCTCATGTTCCCAAAACCACATACCAGAGGTGTAGTCAGGATTAGCATTTAGCAGTTCCTGGCTCCCAAACCCATATGCACCCCAAATACCAGTGGGTATGGTGTTGTCTTCCTTGACAGTGATTCTGCAACCAATTAGTGTAAATTATTTTTATGTGTAGTTCGGTAGAGTTCGGCTCTTCTTCGTAGGAGTTTTATTAAATGCACCATTCCATTACCAACTTTTCAGTTATACTTGCTGAGTTTCTTTATTTAGAAGATTTGATCATCTTTTAATGCTCATTTTGGACAGTGTTCCTTGTGCACCCAAAATTTTCAGTGAATTCAAATCTTATGTACCTATTTTACTAATGGTAGTTAGAGGCCACGATTTTAAAAAGTGACTAGTGATTTTGTGTGCCTGTTTTTTGTTTTTTTGTTTTGTTTTTTTGAGGTGC